TTTTTTTTTTTTTTTTTGCAAAAAATATATTGTCTAATAAAAAATAGTTCTCAAGTGCTATAATAAAGTTTTAAAAGTTATTGTTTGCCTACTGTGTTTTAAAGGTAAAAAAGTTTATTGCTCGGTTGAATTGTAGCTTCAACAAAGCTTTTCTAGGAAGCTTTCAAGCGCGTTATAGATATGTAATAACAGTAATTACAATTATTGTATCAACGATAAAAATAGATGTATCAATGAAATTATATTTATTCAGCATTTCTTTCTATTCTTAAAATTGTTCTTTTTTTTTTTTTCTTTTTGAAAGCTATTTAAAATGACATTGATGGTATCAGTCTTGATTAGTATTTGTAATCTTTATGCAACAATCTACTGCCAAAATATTTTACATGACTGATTTTTTGTTGAATTACTGACAACCGCTAACACTGTTGAAGACTGTAAGATTGAAATCCCAATGAAACGCAAAACATTGAAGAATCAACAATGTTAACACCGATAACAGCATAAATAAGTATGATTGAAAGATGACAGAAGAAAAAGTTGTCGACCAAAACTGATCATGTTTAATTTTAGAGTAATTCTTACAGTGTTCTACGTTCAACAACGTTCAGAAACTAAATCGAATGTTCAGAGTGTGCAATACCGCTTTTCATCGTCAAAAAACTATCCGTGATTACCAACTTCCTGTAACATCACCAGTTTATTCTCTTATAGTGACTTTTACTAATCTTTCTATTATGGTTTCAGAGTGATCAAGAAAAAAAATAAAAGAAAGAATAAAAGAAAAGTTAATCTATTTTGATCAATGGAGCAAACATTATACATTAAGTTTGTCGTTATTAAGCTGTTAATAAAATATTGACTATCGTTGTGAAATATAGAATAACTTTTCCAGCTAACTTACTTATTTACCTTTGTCTATTTCTGTATAGAAAAAAGTTTAAGGCGTGTTTAGATTGTAATTAAATTTTAGAATAAACTATTTGTGTTTTGAATGCCTTTTAAGGTATAAAAAAAAGCGAGTTTTTTTTGTCTTTTTACGGTTGATTATTGTTTTTATTATATTTCTTCCGTCTGTAATTTGTATGTTTGAAAACCTGATTAATAAAAATGTTGCAACGCTTTACTGCCTCTTAGAAATTATTGTTTCAAAAATTGCCAACAAAAAGAAACCACAGATTTTTTAATCAACAAAAGCAAAAAAAAAATTTTTTTTTGGAAGTATAATTTGGTATATATTTTTTGTTCTTTTTTTTACTTTTTTTTTCACTATAATAAAACTTATAAGCGGAAAAACAGGTAACGAGTGAAAAATAAAGTTTCTAAATTGCTATTGCTGTTGTTATTTGTTACTTAATGATAGTAATAACAGTGACTTATAAGTTTGTCTAAAGTGGGCAAGAAAAAATTTCAGATGAAACTGTCAACAAACTTAGCAGTAAGCAATGAGCTAGGATTAATATTAGCGGAAAAAAATTGATAAGTCAAGTCTTGCTTACTGGAATAAGCTTATTTACTGACTTCTTAACTGGAGAAAAGACGCTTGTTTACAGAAAGATCATATGTAATCGCTTCCTGTATGCTATTGAAACTTTACTTTAGTAGGCAAGCATCATGTAGTTATTCCGATCTAAAGCCAGTATTTTCTAACCAAAAGTTGCATTATATTTATTGCCTATTTCTTCAACCCGTCCCTATGTTCACCTCCCTTCCCCCCTTCCTCCCCTCTTTCCACCTTTTTCCTTGCCTTCTCCAAATCAAAAAAAAAATTTGTAGCCAACTAACTTTTGTTGCTTTTTTTTTTTCATGTGCTCTTAGTGCATTTTATTTTTATTTATTCATTCAAAACTAAACAGTTTTATTTGTAACTGACCTTGAACATACTGCTGCACTAAAGATTTGCAATCTGATTGTTACTGAAACTGAACTGTAAAAACTCATTTTTTCCCAGAACCAAATCGTTAACAGCCAAAACTCTTTTTATTGCTGTTTGTTTTTAAAAAAGCAAAAAAAAAGTGAAAAATTAAAAAAGCAAGAAAGTTTCTGGATAAAAAGTAAAAAGAAAAAAAAAAAACAGAAATTGAACTACTTAGTTGATGAGAAAAAAAAAATTTAATCTTGAATTACTTCTTTTTCCAGCTATATTTCCATTAAAAATCAGATGATGCACTTCTTTCTAGTGAATTCAATTCTGAAAGCTTCAATTTAATTACTGTCTGATGCCAAATTTTTATGCTTGACCATCCAGAGCACTAGCAATAATTGTTTCCATTAAACCGAACTGTTTTAAAGAGAAAAAAGATAAGTAAAAAGATAAAAAAAGAAAAAAGAACTAAACCTAGGCCATTTATTATACATGCTCAGCAGATGTAATGATAGTTAAATCCAGGAAATTTGAAAATAAGGAAAAAATTAATGCTGTTTTAAGGAATGCAAAGCAATGCAATCGCTCAGTTGAATTTTATAACCACTGCTTTAGTAGGATGGCAAGCAAATTGATGCTGTCGAACGAAAAACCGCTTCATCACTTAGTTCGGTTGAGTGTATATTTTTTCCAATATTTATCGTCAACAAATCAGCCTTCAAACTGTAATGTCTCCTGTTGCAGTTTTGCTACTAACCGAACACTGTTACTGCTGCTTATAGTCAACCACTGATATGCTGAACTATAAAAATGATGAAGATGAGATGGAGGAAAAACTTATGAAGAAGTGGTCTAGAATGATGAATTATTTCTGACATCCTTATATAACTGATAATAGAGTCGCTTAACCACTTTGAGTTATTGCTATTGCTTTCTGTTTCTACTTCACGTACACCTGACAAGCAAATGCTTTATTCACTTAACAAAACAAGATTTCAAGTCTACCGCACTCAAATGTCGATGCTTTAAGCACTGTTTATTTTCAGA